ATTTCCTTTAGCCCGTTTTAACCCATTGAAACTAAATTGTCTATTGTTTCTTGTATTTTGTTATTATTACGAAAGATTAAAGTAAAAATCGTAAGATCTGTTTCAAAAATAGGACAAATACATAAATAGAATACATAATAGGATAAATAACAGCCAATAGGATAAATACATAAAAAGGATACATAATAGGATAAATTTTCTCCCTTTACCTTGTTAACAACCCTTTTTAAGGGAAAGCTGTGGGTGTAATCACAGAAATTACAATATCTTCTGAACCGTAATTTCTACATCATTAGGGGTTTTATTATTTTGTTAACAGTTTAAAGGACTATAAAATAATAAATTGTTGTTACAAATCTTTCGAACCGTTACTAAACTCCGATTATTCCGTTATTTTATGTGTTTTTATGAAAAAATCGTCATTAAAAATTAAAATTTCAAGTCAGATGAAACGATTAGATATAAACTAATTTAATATTATAATATTCTTAATTGTTTATCATGTCAATGCGCTTATACACATTGTTGATTAAAATTACAAAAAAACAACTTAAAATGAATCAAACTGTTTAAACAACTTCATAAAATCATACATGACCTCTCCTAAGTAAAAGAAACTCTGTTGGATAACAAACTTGAGTTATTGCTGATACAAGTAAACGTCAGATATGTTTTGTCTCTTGTATCACTGAAGAGGTATTACGTTTGATTATATAAAGAAGACTTCAGGTGAAGTATATACTGATGTGTTCCTTTGTCTTTCCCCACAATACTCACGTGGTGTAAAAGTTAACAAATATTTTTTTTATTGTTTGGAAACAGAACGGTTCAATTATATATCAACTAATTATTTTATCGACAGTTTGTTTTGGTTTTTCTTATGTACGTGTTGTTTTTTTTCGAATCCTTAAGTTTGTGATTTAGTGCACTGGCTAAAAAGTCAGTTATAAGAATCATAAATCAATGAAAGACTATGCTATTATAAATTATAATATTGACTCGCATTCTTGTCTTCTTTCAGTAAACACGCTTGGCCTACACGTTTATTTGTGATCAAAAGAGTACTTGTAGTGTTTAAACCCCCCATGAGCTTTTGCGTATTAACATTTTAAATTAGTAATAAAATAATCGATATTTAATAAAGGCTCAACTTTTTTCAATCTGTACCGTGACAATATTAGTTTCTTATCGGTCGAGTGCCTTATTGTAAATCAGATACTTGAAGTTTTCATCATACTTTGGCAAGAGTTTCCTATTATCATAGCCAATTTTATTCTTCCCTAAACAAAACCAATTGAATTTAAGAGATAAAAAGTAGATATCATTATTACTCCGTTTAATGCATTTTGGAACTGCGATAGTTTCACCTTTGGCTTTGGAATTATGAAGAAGACATCACAAATGGATTAGCTGTAGCAATTTTTTTTTTTCAAATTGAACGCAGTTCAATGAGTCTCCCGCATATAGCATCATTGTTTAAATTAATTTTTTCCTCTTTTCACGAATTTAGGTGGTACTTTAATTTTTTTTAGGTGGTAGTTAATTTAGGTGGAGACTTAGACCCAGGACTAAATTGTTTTGATGTCTCCAGAAATCAAAAACACGATTCGTTCAAATTTGTATGTATGTTTATATAAAATTGTTACGTATTAAAATGGTTATTCAAATTTATTTATATTTTACAGGCAAAGTTTATACCTAATCGTGCATTCTATTGAATAACTAGACATTCTATACATTACCTGAAATGAATGTTCAACTAGAATTTTTTGTTAGCTTCAATTATTACTTTGGGACGGGATATCTACTTTTAGCAATAGTAGAAACAGTTGAGTGTGGTTAGCGTCTCGGTGTGAGAGGAGTGGGTTCAATTCCCGGCATTTCACAAAAAAATACTTATGACATTTCAAAATGCCATTTGTGTAGGAAAAAAAACGTCACTACTAGGAGAAAAAAGTGTTACCTCAAGTTTATAAACCCAATAAAAACCGTTCCGAAGGCTGAAGCGGGAACTTTACTCGTTAATGTTGAAGTTTAAGATGGAACAAAAAAGTTCGGCAATAATTTCCTTAGTCTGAATGCGCCGGATTATAAGATATAACTCAAGATTGGATGGAAGTGAATAAACCCATTTCAGGTGTTTAAGTGGATTTATGGATCGAGTTTTCAAACCTGTTACTTTAGTCTTTCGATGGGTTTACTTATGCTACGATCAATCGAATTGATTGTATTTCTTGTAAATAATTCCTTACGGGCTGAGGTGTTAAGATTAACTATAGTATAATAATTATGCCTACTACAGGATTTGCAATTTCATTTTTAAATAACATAACAAGATTGTTATTTAAAATAAGTTTGCGGAAATTTTTCATCATGAATGATAAAATAAACTGTTTACGACATTTCGGAATCTTGAACCTGATTTCGTTATCAGGTGCAAAAAAAACTGATGAATTAAATTATTACGAAATTTGTGCACTTTTATTTAAGTGGCCGTGTATATTTGATAAATATAAAGCAATGTGCAGATGTTATATTAATTTTATGCTACCAATTTTTAACCATAGTTAGAAACATGTCAAGCATAATGATTCGACAACTTTCTCTTTCTCACCATAATCACAGAAAACATACTGTATGTTTTCTGTGCCATAATACTCTACGTTAGTAGATAACATTTAAAATTTACTAAATGGAAATACAATTTATTGCTAATTTATGTTCCATAAAATTTCAAATGTCCACTCTTTAAATTTGTAGCTAATTTATTCGAGATTGTATGACTTTTAATTCAGTAAATTCAAATTCTATAAATAAATATAAATACTAGATTCTCCTTTAATTCATGGAGTATTTTAAATTTTTATCTCAACAAAATATTAAAGCTGCATACAAAAATCATGTAACTAAACTTATAAATCTTTCGTATATTTTCCCGGGCAGAAAGCGATGATTCTGTTTTGCTGAAAGCTACGCGGCGTCTTTCAAGTTCAGAGTCATGAAAATCATTGTAGACGAGCCCCGTGGAACAATGGATTGTTGGAATTGTCTGGACTGGGAACAATGGGCCATTGTGAATTCATGTTCTCTTCGTAAGATGGTGAGGATCTGAGAACTACGCACTCCAAAACCTTCTTGGGTTTATGTAGGATCACAAACACACACTTCACAATCATAGCCTAATACACGTCTTTCGAAATTGGCTTGCTTATTTATTTGTGTTTTCGTTTGAAAATTTAGTTAACTATAAATTATCTTTGTATAGCTTTATTTTATATGTAATACAACCTTACGTCTGTGGTTATTTGTTAATGTCTTAAGATATACTTTAATGAGTAAAATTTCTTTTGGGAGTTGATTTAATTTGTACACTTTTAAACTTTTATTAAAAAAAAAATATATTTTCCATTTAAAATTCGAAATAACATCGTTCTTTATTTACTGGCATATATTATAATATCAATCAAAATTTTGTTAACTAATTTTTTACATGCAATAGTTTATAATCTTTCTAGTTACTGAAGTCTTCTACGGATCATAGGAACACCACTTTTCTATTGCTTTTAAAATAAGTTTGTTATTAGGCGTTGGTGATGTAGTCCTATGTATGAATGTAATTTATATTAATTTGTTCAACCAACACCAATCAATGTATTTTCACTCATACTATAAAATTTATAAAACGGCCAAATATTAAAAATGTTACAATGCAAATGATTTTGACCAATTGACATATTTTATGTACATAATTACCATAGAAATGTTTACAGTTCAATGTTATCAAACATAGAAAATATTTGAAAGGTATTTTCATTAGAAACGTATTTCCAAAAGTAACAAATTTGTATTATTTTGCGCCACAAATACTTAAAAATGATTTATCAAATCACTAATGAATAAGGTTCTGAATATCTCCTAATTAAAACTCGTCACCTTAGTTTTTAATATTCAAATTTTTACAGACGCAGTTCTATCAACAATGACCCATTGGACATAATGTATTTTGAATTTTAATTAAGACTAAATTACAATAGCGTCCATGCGAACGCTCGACGCAGGTCTAAGATAATAGAAAATGAATGAAAAGACACGTGAATAGGACAAAGAGGAACGGCAGACTGGAATTGTTAGGATCAGGAACAATGGTCTTGAATTTGTATTTAGATGCCTTTGAACTTGTGTGACGTTTGGGTGGTGATTCTCATCATAACTTTATCCATAATAATTGCTCATGTGTTTTCAAAAACGAACTTTTTGATCAAAACGGTTTATTCAACCATGAAACTCGGTAAAATATTGTTGTGTTCAGTAGTAAGAATAATATTAATTAATGTATAAAATAAATTTTAAATAATACAGCGGCGTGATTGAAAGTTATGGCTAAATGTATAGTAATCGTAATGGTTTCCATATCTTAATATTATTGACAATGTATCACGAACTATAAAGTTCGTCTCGAAAGTATTTCAAGATGTAGTTTTCGAAATTCAACGATAGTGAATTTTACGTTAATTTCTCTAGTTTGTTTCACCAACCCATGTCTCTCTATGATCCAAATCCAAGAAAAATCTAGTATTCTCTTTTTTTAGTGCATTTGTGTACACATTATTTGGAAATTCTTCCCCACTGTGCATCTTTCTAAAACCCCCCGCTTAAGCAATAGTTTACTATCGGTAAACAATCTACTTGCTGTTTAAATCTTACAATCATTCGGACAATCCTCATACTTAAAACAAGTATCTTTTCTACGATCAAGTGTGCTTAAAATGCTCCATCAAACACAAGGTTAAAACTTTCTAAAATACTAATCCCTGCAATAAACTCTCTAAAAATGATATTTTGCATTTTTGGGTTCATACCGAACCGTTTCAACGGTCGTAAAAAGAATTTGCGCCTGGGAACAATCTTTATTTCCACAAAAACGCTTCACCTATTCAAATAATTTAATTTTATGTACACTTATTAGCAAAAGTAACGCCAATAGCCAACCTCGTTTTCAGAACATTTTAAATATAAATCAAACCCATCATAATTTAACCTAGGACATCCCCAAACTGTAACCACACATCAGTGTTGATGCGGTGCAAATTCGAAGCTGTGGGATTCGACGCCGTGGGATTCGACGCAATACCACGATGACTGTCAAGACGCTTTACGCGGGAGTTTTGCCCGACTCTGCAGTAATACCAACCCATGATTCCGCAGAATGTCGAGTGTACACGAGGCGATGGTTTATACTGGCTCTATTCGTCGTGTACTCAATGTCCAACGCGATGCAGTGGATCGAGTACTCCATCATCGCCAATGTGGTACAGAAGTACTACGATGTGCCCAGCTCCTACGTCAACTGGACATCGATGATCTACATGATCACCTACATACCCTTCGTCTTCCCGGCGTCCTGGCTGATTGACAAGTTGGTGAGTATTGTAATTAATTTACTTTCTTTCTTTATAATTAGCTGTTTTACCCGTGCTTCCCAACGGGAAGAGAACACTAAAGAGAGTAATCATGTTCTAAAGATTCTTAAATCGCCAGCATTTTATATAGTGGATTGCATTTAAAATACACTCAAACGTCTAATTCATTAACCACGTGGCACCAAGATACAGTTCTCATAATATAAACAAATACAATTAAATAGCAGAAGAAAAACACGCCATTAATTTACATTTTACTTTCATATGTTTTTTTAGTAAAGAAATTTAAGTAAAATTCTTTCAAAATCCCTGACATGGGTAATATTAAGACGGCCCCAGGACTAAGCCTTGAAAGTTATACAAAAATGTATGGTGTATAAACATATGTACACCATGAAATCGTACATGTATGTACCAAGTTTCGTGGTCATCGGTCTAGTGGGGTCTGAGTGTATCACTGCCAAATATATATACAAATATACAAACCAACATCCTCTTTTACACTCATATACATGAGATCGTTTTCATTGTTTAAGACAATAATACTGTTACTATTAAAATAGTGCTTATTTAAAGTTGAATTTGAGTGCAAGGTAGGAGTAAAACAAAGTGTAGCTTTTAATTAATTGACTGAATCAGCTGTCTTCAGCCAGACCCTTCTTGTGTGAAAAGCCTAATGATCAAGAACAGCTGTGACTAGTTCCAAACTAGCATACTATTACTTTTTCTTGGAGGTTAAAAAGGGAAAGAGTTTATTTGACGGCGAATCGTCTATGCGGTTTGAGACCAAGACCTAAAATCCTGCCAAATTCAACCAAATATAGTAGAAATAAATTCGAAACCTAAAATGTAGTTTACAAATTCGAGAAATCGTAATTTGAAGAACGAATTTTAAGATTGAGTGACGTTTTTGTTGCCAAACATTGTCCTCAAGACAAGCGCAAAGTCGCAACAAAGACTATTTATTAAGTCACATTACTCTCTACACAACTCATTAGCTTTGTTCGGTAAATCGTTTTAAGCTTTTCCATTGTTACGAAGCTTTTATGTAACGTTTTCTTCAACTAAAGGGAACGTTGGTTTTAAGCAGCAAAATATGGTTCAAATGGTCCTAAAAATACAGCAAAATAACTTAGGTGTCCCACTATATTGACATTGATTATTCTGGTTGTGCTGGTTAAAAAAGTTAGTTATGTAGAAAAGCATTGTTATCGGAATTTGTACTTGATTCAAAACCGAAAACTGCTGTACTGAAATTGATACTGGATGCTATCTGTCATCTGCACGAGGGAATTCACAAATACTTGTACTAATCACTTCCGAATTGCATTTGTCTGTACACGTTTGGATCTATATTACATTAAAGAGAATTCTATATTGCACGCTAAATAAATATATATTTAAGTTACTATGTCGATTACTTATCGTGATTGCACGATATTTCCTGAAAAATTGTTCGACCTCCATACCGGTTTTATACATTTCCATATAAAGAGTCTATGGTTTTGCTGAATGTACGACACAGTAAAGTTAGTTTAGACCAATGAAGAACATTCTACTTCACACCAATGTGTACTACAGTATTTGTTTCGTATTTATCAGTTTTTAATTACATACAATGTGTCCCACACACACGTACTTCAAGACATAATTATTTGACTCTACTACTCACACTACACAGTATAAGTTACTAATATGTATTCAGATTAAGACGAATATTTATTTTTATAATTACACCTTTACTGACATTTACCAGAAAGTTAATGACATATCACGTCCATTCCAGTAATGTTCGTCCAAAATCATTAAAGTAAATCATTGGCAATGGACAATGTAAACGGTTATTGCGATTGAGATAGGGATTGGTTGGGAATGATAAATAAATCATAACAAGCGGAATACATCCCTCAACAGCAACAACATCCCATGCACTGTTGCTCGACAACGCAGCGTCGATGTTATCAAAATGTTTGATGCGAATACATGTGACTATCTATCATCTTTTTGGAGCAGGGAGCGAAATTAGTTTGCTTTTCATTCCAATGAGTACTTTGAGTAACTGGGAAATGATTATTTACAAATTTGTTTTTAATATTGCCATTGAGTGATAAGAGTAGCCTGTACGTGTAGTATTACCAATAACTTTGTAAAATTTGGGAGCCTATAGCACCCGAATCTGGGAGCCCGTTGTCTAGGAAATTTAAACACAGATGACGTTTTTCGGTATTACGACACTGAAACTTAGATAGGGTAGTACCTATAGGATTTGATGCTATGACTCGGTGCTGTTGGATTTTAACGTATTATAAGACCAACATTATTTATGCCGCAGCACCGAAAAATTTTGTGAAGGTAAAACGACCTATAGTACCGAAATAGGAGCGTCAATGTGCTCGTTGCCGTCAATGGAGAGAGCTGATCTAGTGGTAGAGCTTGGGTATTCGGATCGTGAGGTCCCGGCTTCGAATCATGCCAATCGGCAATCACCAATGGATTTTATCTATGTAATAATGCCACGACCCTCTAAGACTAGCCTGAAGCAATGTGTAAAACAGTTCCGGGCTAGAACCTAGTTTCCTAGGATGTGAAGGTGGTACAAAAAATAGTACTTTTACGAGATGAATCGGAGATATGAATATTCTATTCTATATGACCCCTACAAATAACAATCCATCCAAACAAGAACATTTATGACTTATGTTATAGTTTTAGCTAATCATAAATAAATAGGCTAATTATTTTTTTACAATATCTATTTTGTATCGAAAACAAGTTTTATCGCCCTTCTAGAACTCACTTACTGTTATGGTAGAAACGTAAAAATGTTGGAGCCACTATTTTATCGTTTAGTGAAATAAAATACGGTAGGTATTGAATACTCCTCTGGAAACCGCAAACATTTATCAACCTATTTCACGCCTTACTTTACCTGTCATGAACAGCGTATCCAGAACAATGAAAATCATTCGAACTCGGGCTATTTTATGCATGGTGATCATAAAAGGCGGCTATTAAGAGGATTTATTTCTCACTGCGTATTTAAAAATTGGATTATATTTTTAGACGTAATCTATTTATTTAAGTATTGTGTAAAGTTGAAAACTTGTGAGAACGTAAATCTTAAGGCTAAATAACGATCGTTGATAGATTTTACCTGAACTGCCCAAAATGAAGCACCCGTAGTCTATTTTCAATCTTATTTCTGGAAAGCAACAAATCACGCCATCGGTTCGACAGAAGCTCTTTCCTGCGTAAAAAGATTTATGACCATGAACTGCTTGAGAAAACTGAACTAAGGTAATTTGCTAGGAAAGGTTTTTGAATTATCTACCTGAAATGCTGATCTACTTGCATTTTGTTTTTGATACTTGGTTTATAGAATTCAAACTTCGAAACTTCAACTAGTTAGCTAATCGTAGATTATTACAAGAACAAGAAGTATGTTTTGCTATACTTCGTTAACAAGATCATAGATTAAGTATGCCACCTTAGGGAGTATTCTTAATCTATGACAAACTAGGTGGTTTCAGGGGAAGTAATCCACCCCTTACACTTAAGTTCTTACCTTTAAAAGAACTTGTTGTTCTGCCCGTGCCTCGCCACGAGAAGACAGAGAAGAGGGTGATCTTCACCGTACTGTCCCATGCAAACTACCGGTTGTGAAGCGTTTGGTTTTGATTTTAATTAAGTTTATCAATGTCCATGTCACAAGGAAAAATACTCTTCAGATACGTTTTATTCCCAGTTGGAACACAGAAGGCCCTGACCAAACTCTATCCTTAGGTCACAATTATCACATAACTTGTCTGCAACATCAATTGCTGTGTTTTAAACTATATTATACTGATATAATAAGTAAACAACAGAAACATAGTTCTTGAACACTATCCCACATTATAAGAAAAACTTACTGTCACTTCTCTGGATCCAATCTTGAAATAAATCTTAGAATCAGAAGTTAACTCAAGGAAAAGTAAACAAACTAAAATAAAAACAAATCTAACAGCTGATGTATCTTCAATATTTTTAATGTGATTAAATAAATACAGCCCTTTAATTGAGGTTCCTGCCTTTAGGAGAGTGTTTATCAATACATTCCACCATGGGGTTTATCGAAATCTTGTATTTTTCGGGGAAGATTCACATAATAAATGTCATTCAAGTTTGCGGTTGATAGGTGTGCGGCTTATGGATGTCTCAAAAGTTTAGATCTTATAGCTCAGCAGCTGAGGTTTACTAAAACGTCAATCAGCGGCAACATATATTAAGCAACAAATAGTGGGGGGGAAACTTCCCCTAAACCTGCCTAAATTTTGTGAACAGAGTATAGTTTAGGGGTTAGAATACCCAGAAGTTTGGTGTGAGAGTGACCGGCCGATCCCTGGTATGGCCACCCAAGCTTTTAAACGCTACCTAGATTAGTTAGTGTTGCTTTCTTTTATTTTAATGTATGTTATTAATTAGGCCTATTTGTTTTTGCGTTTTGACATGCATGCGTTTTTATCACAGTCGGGAGGAATGCAGCCTATTTTGTTATTTAAAAGACCGAAAAGACCCACTTTAACAATCCCGGGTCGCCGGAAGACTGCCCCCCGGAAAACTACCCCCCCAAGCAGGTTCTTACGTCATATTGACGTCAGAGACCGGAGGGCAGTTTTCCAGTCACGGACACTCAAATTTAGTTGTCAAACAGTTCTAATCTAACCTAACCTAACCAACCAAACTTGCTGTAACATTTCGAAAATCGAAAATGTTTTATATTCACCACATGCATTTTCTATTATCCAACTGAATTACTCGAATTAAAATTAATACTACATAGCATGATTTGTCTAGGGGGGTAATATTCCAGTCGCGGACACGGCTTCCATATTGGTTAGTTAGTCGATTTTGTGACGTCACGTTTCACCTGGGGGGGTAGTTTTCCGGGGGATAGTATTCCGCATCCCCGTTAAAGTGTTAGAGGTGGATTTTTTCCCCATAAAATCGTAGAATGTCCCTTGCTACGAAATTCCACTGGTTGAGACCTTATCAACAAACTTCAGTAAAGCATACATGCTTAAGTTGTATTTATTAAGTGGGTTTAAGCGAAACTTTGATATCCGCCTCCATTATATTTACGAAAATATCAAACCTAACAGTATCGGTATTTTCAATTGTTTAATGTGTGGCTTAGTACTATATATATACTTTAGGTTTGCTAGGTTTAGCAGATAGTATATAATATTATAGCCTACTTTCATTCATTGAGTGAATGATTAAAACGAAAAGTTATATATATATATAAATCCTAGGATCAGCTAAAGCATTGGCTGAAGACAATCATTTTCAGATTAGTTCCATTCGGCTCTCATGTCACAGATGTTTTGTTGATTACTGAAGGTTTCTTGATTTAACTTATTTTTAGACTACAGTATCCAAACCAAATGAAACTACTTACCTAGTTATGAGCAACAGCCCGTTCTCTGTTTTTATAACAATAGCGGTCTTAAGCGCAAATCATAAAATTAACCCTAAAATTAGAGAAAAAATACCCCCACCTTCGGATTTTACAAATTGATGGAAAGAGGATTCCACTTGTGTTAGGTATTTTATAGTTCTGCCTGGATTTGGGTTACGTTACGAAACTTCTTATGTGGCAATAATGAATTTCCTCAGGGTATTCGTGTGGCAGTCACTCTTGGAGCTCTGGGGACCTGCGCAGGAGCATGGATCAAGGTGTTTTCCGTAGCCCCGGACCGCTTCCTGGTCACGTTCCTTGGTCAAACCGTGGTCGCCATCTCCCAGATCTTCGTCCTCAGTATGCCCGCACCTCTGGCCGCTACCTGGTTCGGCCCCGATGAAGTCTCCTCAGCATGTTCTATCGGGGTCTTTGGAAACCAGGTAGGCATTTTTCATATGTTTAACATTGTGAATAAAAAGCGTTCACTTTTATCCCTGGTTGTTATGAGATTATATGTACACCACATCTTGTTAGCGTATTCTGTTACCCCTGTATTTTGCCCCGTATAATGAGATGCGACACGCTATAGCGGGTAGCTGTTTCTGTTACTTTTTGGAACGATCCCGTTGAAAGCTCTCAATATTACGGAATTTTATTATTCGAAGGTGCTTTGTTATAGTTGATTTTTTCAAGCAGAGTTTGCCTTTTTAGTGCGAACAAAAATTGCAGATCATAATAAAATCAACCAAAAATGTCAGAACAGACATTTATGCTCTATAAACTGCGTATAATTGCTTATTTTATACATCAAAAGCGAGTTTATATATAAGGTAAGGTTCGTTTTTAGAATAACAGCGGCAACAGCGCACTTCATCTCAAAATTTACTACTAGCAAGACCTGATCTTGTTTGCCACATATATTTTACTTTCCTGTAATCCCTTAACAAACCTGTGAATAAACATACATTTTTCTTTCTTTTTAACAAAGAAATATCAAGACATTCAAATGCATTTAGATTGAGAGCAAATGTCCAGTTGCTTGGAACATTTTGCTTTCACCCCTGAGAATTTGATACTGATAACTTTTCTAATCATGTCCAAAAATGTCCATCCTCATCTTATGATTAAAAAAACACAGTTCTGTTGACAGCTAGAATTAATTGTAAAGTATCAGCGGAATCAACGGACGAAACAGTTACATGAACAAGAAAACGCTAGTGCGCTCAACAAACTGACTGCGCATGCGCGAGATTTATTCAGACCAGACGCAGACGCCAGCCCCCCAGCCCCAGCAGACGCCAGCCAGACGGTCGTTTCGTTTGCAGCGAGCACGAAATGGAAATACTAAACTATGTAAACTATGCTTGAATAGCAATGTTTTTGTCGTAAGATTCAGTTTATTTATTTCTTGTGTTTTCAGTGATTAAGTGCGTAACCACGTATCATGTTTAAAATAAGTCTTTATTTCAATTACCTGTAAATCGTTAATAAAAATAAACATAACCCCACCGTGGCCAAACCAAACCTGTTAAGAAACGTTGGCTCAGTTTAGTAATTTAATTGCTGTGCTAAGAGAAAATTGATTATCCTGAAACGATTTTATTAATTCAATTTATAAGGAACCGTAATCTAAAAAAATAGTGGTAGGCCTAAGTTATAAGGTAGGCCTAGTATTGGTTTAAAAAGTTACTTACTTCGTAGCAATGGGGAAAAGGTACTTTTGTGACTATTGTGATAAAACCTTTATTGATGATCCAGAATCACGAAGAAAACACATTCAAGGCATAGGCCATATCCGAAATAGGAATAATCATTACAAAAAGTTTAAAGATGTAAAAGCAATATATGAGGAGGAATCAGCTAAAGAAGAATGTCGAAGATTTAGGCAAACCGGTCAGTGTCAGTTCAACGAGAATTGTAACTTTACTCATTATTCCAAAGAAGATTTACAACTTATGAAGAACGAAATAGAAAAGGCTGAATTAAAAAGAAAAAGCTATTCTAATATCCAAGAAGCATCACTTGAAGATTGGTTAGCGAAGCGTAGAACCAAAAGTGAAACTACAACGTCACAGCTCAATAAGGATAGACAGTTGACAATGAAACCCTCGACATCATCTTATTCTAATCACAGCCAGCTCCCAATATCTTTACAGCCTGTAACTGAAGATCAAATTTTCCAGTCTGATGTTGAGTTTACAGAATGGGGCTAAAATTAGAATTAGTAAGTTAGTTCTACTTTTTTGGACAATACAGACCCTAAACCAGGGAAAGTCTTAGGACGCACATTTATTTATAAAAAGTGAGTAGGCCTAAGTTTAAACATAGGCTAACATTTTCAAATTATGTGGCTAGTTATTCTTATCCGAGGGTTATACATCTAGAGTATTTCACCATGAATTAAATTGCCAAACACCAATTCGGTGTTTTCAACAAGTCAATCAACTCAGTCATCCAGTGAATTTTTGTTACAGACATTTTATTTTGTGTTGTTTATGTTCTGTATTGTGTCATAGACTATGAATACTGTACGCCTACGATACAAATTCATAATGAATTCAAAGACAGAAGATGAAATGCCGTAGTTTACATTTTTACAGATTGAAGATGTACCTAACTTAGCAGCATATAAAACAGTTGTTTTATTCACGGCCTAACAAGGGACTGATAGTTTTACAGAGGGTAGGTAACTTAATTTAGGTGTAACTTATTTTAATACATTTCCATATAATTAGCCTCTATCCATATAATAATTATCATAAGGTATAATTTCATTAAGTTATGAAATTCAATAAATCAGGATAGACAATCAAGTTATCATTAATAAAAGCTAACTGTTGCTTACCTAATTTATCGACTTGTGCTATTTAGGGCCTATACCTATAGGCTAGCTGTACAAAGACACAAGTATATTGTAGGTAGGCTAATTGAAGCCATTCTATGTAAATTTTAGTCTAGATGTATAATGTGTAATATAAGTTACTCTTATTTTGTTTAACTTAGTTTCAAATTTGTTTAGCCCTTACAAAACTCTCTTTTTCTTGTTACGTTTGATTATTTTTTTATTTAGTTTGTTTTTGCCACATTTACAATTTTTATGCTTCCAGTAAGTTAATCTTAAAGTTGTAACTTAACTAACTTATTTTTTTATGTTGACCTATTGTTGAAAAGCACCTTTAATCAATAACCAACGAGAAACGGCAGCTGGGTTCAGAACTAACCCTTCTTAGCCAGGAAGCAGCAACCTTCTGATTTGAAAGCGAAGCGAGCAATATAGCCTACCACATGACTACTCGGACCAGAGGCGGCGTTTAGGGGGGGCCAGGGGGGGCAGTTGCCCCCCCACATTCATATGGAATATTTATCAAAATTATAAAATAGAATTCTATCAACAATAAATCTAGATTTCGCCCCCCTCCCCTCTCAAGCCCAATCGCCGCCACTGACTCGGACAATTAGGCTACTTGGCTTCACCCATACTGATCTTTAAAACACATACCGGTACTTTCCTGTTTGTTTTTCTTATCCACAGGATGTATATATTTTCAGCTTGGAGTGGCCCTAGGCTTTGTGATTCCACCGATGATTGTGAAGAACAGCGAAGACTTGGATGTGATTGGGTCCGGTCTTTCCTTACTCTTCTATGGAGTGGCTATTCTCACGTCAGTTCTTCTAGTCCTCATTTTATTCTGTAAGTTTAATAATCACCACTAAGCAATTTATAATAATCTCCAGTGTCATCAATCCCTTTGTATACTCTTGTTCAGAACTTTTTAATGATTTTTTGTCTCTAATGGCTGATTTACAAAATGGGCCTACTAATCAATTCTTGATTCAATCCAAGTCAGCAATTCAATTGGCAATAGGCATCCATAATTTATAAGGATATAGTTGTTGAGTAGTGATGCGCCATTGCAAATTGATTTGACAATCCCAATATTGCTTTGCTTGCTAAGGTAAAGGTCCTTAACTTACTATTGGAATGAATTTGATTGAAATTTTTCATTCCTTAGTTCATAGTTCCTTGGTCTTGGTCATATAGTAGGCCTAAAATCACCAAAGGGTATTAATCGGTAAGGTATTAGAGCCTACTCAATTATGTAAAAGTTAGGCTATTATAGTCTACAGTAGGGTGTTTTGAGTATCTGACCAGAACCGGCCTCAGTAAAGTCGGGTAAGCAAATAGTTATCTGTGCAGCTAGTGAGAAAAGTGAGCAATTGACTCACTCGAGAGAAATCCTTACTCACGAGCCGTGTGAGGAATGGTTTCTCGAGTGAGGCAATTGTACTTTAAACTCGAGTTGCACAGTATACTTATCCTACTGTTACCATAAAACAAATAAATTGGTGAAGAAACATAACCTATTTTTACACAGAAGTGAACTTTTAATTAACATTTAATGTGAAGTGACAAATACAACAGTACAACAGCTGACCAGCTGATTTACAGCCAGTGCTGCCAACGTATTTCGCGCGCATACGACGTTGCCTGCATGTTACGCGCTCACTATTTCGTGCCTTCACGTTGCAAATCTGGAGTGAGACAATGTTAATTGTGATATCTGATGCGTGATAGAGTCTCTGAAGTACTCACAGTTTTCCAGAGTTCACCGAAGTTGCCGCCCAGTCCGGCACAGGCTGTACAACGCAGCGCAGCGTCCATACCCTTCCTAACCTCTATCAAACACCTGGTTACTAACACCGGGTACATGCTACTGCTAGTGTCATACGGCATCAATGTAGGGGTGTTCTACGCCATATCTACCCTGCTCAATCAGATCGTACTGGCTTACTTTCCGGTAAGTGAAATTTGAAGTATTTCAGCTGTGATGATAGGCTAACAGATAAAATCTTGCATTTGCCTGTTGACCTAGACCTCAGGCCTGTCCATGGTACCTTTGGCTAAGAGAGCCAGACATAATACCATTTTGAATTTGTAGTTAGTTTTGGAATAAAAATAAACATAGTTGATTTGATCCAACAACGGAGTTGGTGATGCAAATCAATCATTTCTGTCAAATACACCAACTTTTTAACCAAGATTTGATCCAACAACGGAGTTGCTGATGCAAATCAATCATTTCTGTCAAATACACCAACTTTTTAACCAAGACAACTTACATTAAACTATATAATCTTTTATCTCACACCAACTCTCATAAAGATGGAATAGGCCTATACTAAATTTAGACAACTTACGGTCTTCAGTATCCAAAATTCAATGGTGGAACATATCCAGCAAAGCAAGGGTTGAACCATTACCTAGAGTATGGTACAAAAGTGATGTGGCATGTTTTTTTTTTACAAATATTTATTTACAATCTATTCTATACTAGAACAATAAGTCAATTTCATGACAATTTTAACATGGGTTAGTTACACTCCATCAAGTGCACTAACATACAAAAACTTTTAAAAAGTGTAACTAAAAACGATTTGGAAGGTCTATTGGATTAACTTTTTTGAGCCTATAGTAGCTTCACTATTATCGAGGAGGTTAACTGCCAGGGAATTTGGATGGCTTTCTTTGATTTTTTTCGCTTTGTTTTTTTTATTTCTTCTCTAATATACAGTAATTTTGTATCTTGATGAATAACATTATTTGTGACAAACCAAGGTGCTTGTAAAATTTTTCTTAGTGTTTTGGATTGAGTACTGATAAAATTCAATGTTAGCACTGAAGTGCACATCTCTGCCTTGGTTTCATAGTCATCTGACTGGGTCTCTCCTACGACTCATCAAATAAGTGCCAATGAATTTCACTAAATTATTTTAAAAACAATCCTTTTAGACAAACTATAGTAAACAACTAAATAATTCCCAAAAGGTCAATGCCGAGTTGTTTGGATTAGTCCATTTATCATGTTTGTTTTTTTTCAGGGCAAAGAAGAAGACGTTGGCAGGATTGGTCTGATGATCGTAGTGGCTGGAATGTTGGGCTCCGTTTGTTGTGGAGTTGTACTTGACAAGACACACAAATTCAAGTACGAATAGTTTACAATGTTCAATTTTAAAGTGTGTTGTCAGCAATCCCATTGTAATGTTTTGCCATTAGTTAGTTTTTGCTATATGTTTGACCGTTTTTTTTTTTTTTTTTTGCAAATTTCCCTATTTGGAAGAAGCTATTAGGGTTAAGGCCAAAACACTATTCCATTCATTCTAATTGTTATGTGTTATGTGTGTTGTTTTTAAAAGCTATTCAAAATCATTTCTGATTTTACATTTTGAATTGTATGTAAATGTACGCCAAGCTCCAAGTTAAGTAGGCTATAGATAGGCCTACTAAGAGTTCTAACTGTATGATATGAGAAATTATGAAGACTTTTAAATACTTTTCAATGAAATGGTGACCATACAAATTAGGCATTTTAAGATAACTACGAATGGAGATAAGTGTAGGATGAGTGGCGCGATCTTGTAGTCGTGTTAGTCACTAAGGCCGACTTATTCCTTAGACACAAACTACTAATTAAAAGCCCATACAGCTAATGGCATCTAAGGGACCTACAGTTTATAGTGGATTCCGAACCACATTTTTGCCCTGGTATATACGAATTGGTCTAATTATCAGGATAGTACTGTGGATAGTCGTAGTACTCACACCCAGGGAGTATCACATCCTCAGATGTTTTTAACCTAGGATTTTTGCAGGGAGACGACACTTGCTGTTTATTTCTTCTCGTTGGTTGGCATGGTGATCTACACCTTCACACTGAACTGTGGATATATCGCTGTAGTCTACGTAACTGCTGCAGTGCTCGGGTATGTTTTGATTTAATTATGCAGCATTGCGTTTATTTTTTGTATATTGTTAATCTGTTAAGACTATTAACAATCAAACGCTTTCTGGGAGAGTGTGAAATGACCAAAAATGTTAGATTACAGAATTTATAGGGCTATATAAAAACCTTTTAGTTGCGTCACATGTGGGTGAGTCATTAGCAGTTTCTTGTCCAAACCATCCCTAGTCTGAACCAAACAAATCCCAAATATAGAGTCTACTGAACATCTAATTATTAATCATTATTACCTTAAATTTAAGATAATTTAAATTTTCTGACAATATTGCTTTGTAGATTCTTCATGACAGGATACTTGCCGGTTGGTTTTGAGCTGGGAGCCGAGTTAACCTATCCGGAGCCTGAAGGCACATCCGCAGGACTTCTCAACGCGGGAGCTCAAGTCTTTGGCATCCTGTTTACAATTGGTAAGTCCTGAAGTGTAATCTCAATCAGTAAAGCTGACAAAATTTCCTTCCCGAGTTATATTTTCGATTTGTTATTTTAATTTTCAAAAATATCTGTGAATGTGTAAACAACATGTCCTGCAACTAGATGGCACCTGTTGAAATCATGTTTCTTACATATTAACTGTAAAAACAAAAAGTGTCATTAACAGTGTCTGTAGTATCTTTTTCAAACTGAAATTATTACATGCAACAAGTTTCTTTTAAAATTGCTTACAGCTGGTTCATATAGATGGAATGTCTACTTCAATGTTCAATAGTACGCTACTTTACTATGTCTACCAAATTCTTGTTTTGAAAAAATTTGGATTATTAAGTTCAATTGTATTAAAAGTCAGTCGTTGTTAGGCGTTTGACACACGTACAGGACAAAAATAAAATTTTTCCGCTCTAAACAAGCTGGACACTTTTCGGGTTCCTAAAATAGTCGGACTCGATCTCCAGGACGATCTCCATCGTAATTAGTACCCATAGTACATTAGCACATTAGAGCATCTGTGATATTTGTTTTACTTGTGTGTCTATCTGTATTTGACCAACTAGATATCACCATACGATAGAGGCGAATGAAACCCACAAAACCTTCACAAATATTTTAATTCCAACAATTGCCGTGTTGACAGGGTCCTCGTATGTGCTGGAGTTGATCGGCGACTTGTGGGCCAACGCAGTACTGTGCTGCTGTCTGGTAATAGGTACAGGACTTACGGCACTCATCCGCTCCGATCTGAGACGCCAGGCGGCGCACGCCAAGAACACTCAGCAGCCACCAACGCCATAAGTAGGCTTACATTCCACTGTCTCTAGTTATGTTCTTGTAACTGCATTTCACTCTGTAAGATAATTATTTTTCCAAAATACAATCACAATGGTACTATTTAGTGGCTAAAGAACAATACTAATGGAAAATATCCGCACAAAGACTGTTCATATGCTTGTAGAGAGTCTTCACTGTCGCTCTCACTACTCAACACAAAAAACACTTGTGTTTGATGGAATAATAAATTTACCTTAACGTAAATAAGACAAAAATTTTACAATTCCACTGATTAACGTAAAAAGATATCTGAGTAAGGGAAGGCTAATTTGTTATAGAATAGGTTAAGAAAAGTTAAAATTGGATTAGGGTGCCAGTAGGTACTGAAGACGTTTAAACAGAGAACGTTTAATTATAAGAGATAAAAATACCCCCGCCGCAGCAAACCTGCAGACTAAGCGAATTTCAACTCGTCTGATTACATTTTTACTAAAATATTTCCATAAATAAGACATATTATTCCCTATTTAAATAACATTAGATTTAACGAGTGCTTAGGTTTGCTGCTTTGGGGAAGGTAAAAAGTGTTTTTTGACCATACGTCAATAGTATAGGATGAAATAAATAAATTTGCCAAATTTTATCAATATATACCCATAAACAAGTAAACTACAACAATTTTCATTTTCTCCAAAAGAATAACATGGGAATTTTTAATTACACTATTTTTGAATTTTCTCCATGACCGTTAGGCATACAACAGCGCTTCAATATACTAAATTATTTCTTTTTTTAAGCTCTACAAAACGGTTTAGAAATAAATCGCAAATTTTTTTGTTTTTAGGTTCAAAAATGGGAAAAACCCATTTTTACCCCATAAAACCCCCCATAAACCCCCGTTCCCATGGTCCGATTATGCTGGATCGCGAACTCGTTCGAATAAACGTAAGTTTACACGTTTGTACCAAATTTCATCAAAATCGGATCATTTTTGCTCGAGTTATCGCGCTAACGGACACATATATATATATATATATATATGAATTTGAACGGATGGTGTTTTTGGCCTCTAGGGACCTCAAAATGAAAAATTAAATCGGTCTCGGGTCCAGGTCTTACCATGAGTACTACGGTAAAAACATGTTGATACATGAAGAGGAACCAGAGAGGGGTGTGCAAAGAAGTGATTTTCCTCTAGCCCAGCGGTGGTCAGTTATGATTGTTCATAAATTTTATTTTTATGTTTAGGACTGGAAAATTTGTAAAAAGTAGATCAGCAGTGTAACTCTGTTTTTTTTTAGAATGTTTTCTATTACCTATGGATTTCTGGGAATCCAGTGCACAAGTCTGAATCGTACATGGGATAGTGTTTGAAGTTGTAAGAAGTAAAATACTTTCTAGTTTTTGGTCATTTTATAAATTTTAGTTGGAAAGTATAGTGTGTGGTGATAAAATTTCATCAATCTTGAGTGTTGAATTGATCCAATGCAAACTTGCTTATTCAGAACATAGACGATACGTTGTCTATACTATATAAACTACCATCATGTGATTCAGAATGAGTAGTCTATATAAAGGTTTGAATACTCTATGGATGGTGAAAACATTGCTTTTGGGAATTCTAATACGATGATGGTTTGGACAAAATTGACAAAAACTAAGTGAGGACTTGAGTAAGTGAGATTATAAAGCCTATACCACGTTCTAAAATTAGATACTTTTATGACATTTTGGGCTCTCAGGATCTTAAATCTGACTCATAACTGAAGTTATTAGTAAATTTAGCTAACAAATTTTAGTTTTTGTAAATTTGTCGACAAGTTTTTTGAGAGTGAAGTGCAGCTCAATTAGAACAGTTAATGTTATGGAATATTAATTTAGAAGTTTTTTGCTTGCCAACAGTGACAAATAAATAGTGACAATAAGATTAAAACGGTTTACATAGTTTTTCTTTTTTTTAATTAGGCAAACAAACATTCCAATACAAAATATATTTTTATACTAGCCATAAACTTTTTTCTCGCCTAGCAGTATATCTATGAGGATTTTTATTTATTTGATTTTTTTTCATAGCCTTTGTATATAAACATTTTGTTATTGTAAGTAATTTATTGCATTTGAATTAGACATTATTTATTTTGAGCTTTTTTTATTTAAGTTGTATTTGAGTAAAGAGTATTATGTTTTAATTGCTCAAAGTTGTCTTGATTTACATTTGTCATCGTCATAGATAACTTTACTATTAGTAAAAAGATATATTTTCTCTTATATAAAATATACTAAACATGTATTGAGCATACCATGTAATATACTTTTGTACTATTAATTCTGTACTGTAGCTATTCAATAATTTAAAAGCTGTTATGTAGGCAAACAAAATTTATGTTTGTAGTCCAATGCCTTTATTCGGTCACTAAATTAAAATTGTTTCCGTATCAATTAGTTCATTAAGCTATTAAATGTTATAGTAATTAGGCCTACTGTAGTTGTTAAAGTGTAACTTTACACTTGTAACGGTAACAATAATTACTACATTCAAATCTTTGACAATATTGAAGTGTTGTGAGTAAATTTAAAATATAGATATTTTTGTCCGTTGTTCGTAAGTGTATGTTTGAACATAGATCATTGTAGAAGCTACTGTGTTATATTTATAGTGGAACCTCTGTTAATTCTTTATTAAGGATATCTGACAAATTAAATTAACAAAGACCAAATTGCATTTACTTGGTTTGGTAAAGAGTTAATATTACAAGATTTCCTTGGTCCGTCGAGGTGAATTTTGTTTTTCAAGTGGAAAACTGCTGTAACGTAATATTCCTGCTAAGCCCAATACTTTCTAAAACCATCATCTACTCTGTTGAAAACAGACCTAAAATTTCTGTCAAGGTAGTACAGGTAATATAGCCTTCTGTACTCACTCTGTACGTTGAGTGTAATTTATATTTAACTTAGTTTGTGTTCCATTTCTAAAATATTGTAAAGCTCCTAAATGAATTTGGGTTGAAACGATGGCATTTCCAAAAGGTCTCTCTAAAGGGAAGGAATTAATTTCTCATTGGCAGATTCCCTTTCCTAAAACCATGCAAAATTTATTTGACTCCTTCCCTAAATTGATGCAATGCGGTTTTTACTTTTGAACTCACATTTGTATAAAGTGTAATTGAGTTTACTAGTAAAGATTATTAATAGAGGTTCTGCTATTTCAGCATAGATACAGCCAGTGATAAAAGTAGTGTGAATTTTATATACGCTGGTTTGGAATCTTTGTGCTAGACATGTTTTCCATACCCTTGCGATTCATCCTGTGCAGCAGTAGATTTAAAATCAGTTTATTTTTTAGGCATGTTGTGGGTTTGCATCTTGATACTTTCTTTTAACATTTATCATAGTTTACTCATTGTTCATCGTTTGCTCACCTTAATGTGTCCCCACCAAAACCTTCAAGGCACAAGTCAATAAAGTAACTGTCTTGTGATTCGGATATCACTGCACACAGGTTCATTAAATATTGTCATGCCATTTTTAAACAATCGGATGTTGTCAAGACTTCTTATAAAAATGTTTAAATAGTATATTTACTATTTACTCTATTGACAATACTTACTTTCACAAGCATTGTGAACAACATAATATAACAGACTGAGACCTTCATACAAATTAATGCTAATACAAACTAGGATAAATTTAAAACTAAAAATAAATTTAAGATATAGATGATGTTTGAATTTGAGAATTAATAATATTTGTTAGTTATTTATTCCACTTTTATATTTAAGAACAATACTTTTAGACACTGGCTGTATCTAGTTTATGTAAGAAGTTTCGAGTTAGATATTGAAAATTATATATTTTACTCTATACTATACAAGTATTACAAAAAATCCCTAAAGATGATCGTCTTCCATCGTAAATAGTACCCATAGTGCATTAGCACAATAGAGTATCTGTGATATTTGTTTTACTTTGTTATTGTTTGACCAATATGGTAATATTGTTGACTCTATGACAATAAATATAATGTGATATAATAGAACTGTGCTGTTAACTTTCCTAATAACTTCATTTACTCTGTAGTTAGTGAACATTTGTATCCTTTTAGTTCAAAAGGCCAAAATGTTACACAACAAGTAACATACTTCCATATATTCCCAACAGAGTCATGTATTCTTTGTTAGCTAAATCTAAACATGCATTTTTCTTACCATGTTTTTAATTATTGAACACTGGCTTTAAAGAATTTGGTCTTATGTGTTCTTAAGGTATAAGGTGGGGGGGAAATCCTGAAAAAAAGACAGAAATTTGACAGAATACTGGACCTAGCTACCTGGCCAAAGAAACGGTCAAACGGATAGTCTTAATCAGTGACAAAGCTACACAAGGCAACTCACTCCATTTCACAGTTATCTATTACGCATTTTGGGTAACTAAAAATAATCCCATTTAAGTCCCCATCTCAATTGGTAATAGTAGTAGTAGTAGTAGTATCGGCCTTAGTCAGTAACAAAATTACAAATCACGCCACTCAACCTACACTCATCTTCATTCATACTTGGCTTAAAATACCTACCTTTGTATGGTCGCCATTACAGATAAAAGTATTAAAGTAGTACTCTTATGAAAACTTATTTCCTTTTGACGTTTTAATCTTCACATGTTTTTTTGACAAACTACTGATTCCTAGGAGATGCTTTAGGTAAAACTTCCAGTTTAACAAGTTTATACAAAAAGCGTTTATTTCATCAGTCTATACTATTTTATATACAAAAGTGAAAAGTCCAATATAATACACAGCCCCTATAAGGGTTAACTTTGTCAAGGGTAAGCCAGTTCGTCTTCTTGATCCACTTTGTGAGCATTGATGGCGAGCGCTCCATTGAATGACGTGACGCAACGTTTGCGTAACTTGTTGGGGAACACAGTGAAAATCCGACCTTCAACAGATAAACTTGTTATAAAAAATTGATATTAAAGTCACTTCCAGCCAGTTTGAGTTGAGTAGATTGTAAAATTAAGTAAAATGAACAGAAATTCAGAATTTTATCTGATATGAATCACGGGTTTATGTTTTTGAAGAGAACCGATTTTCAGTTTTTGTGGTATTCTAACTCTCTTTTGAGGAGAAAATTTTTTAAATATGATGGCAAGATAAAGTTTGGTCTTTACACAATAGTTTCCAAAATTTGGCACAGCCATAATTCTAAATTCTTAAGGAGTTTTTTTACAACACATGTTTGTCAAAGACTTATTTATAATCTTATTTACCTACATAATGATTGATGAATGATTTAGGACTATTGATGTAGGTACCGAAGTGTTCTCAAAGGAAAAATGATAAATTATCTGTAAGTTATATTCTTTGTGTGACACTATAAAATATCATAAATCTATTTAAGATTCAATTTACATATTTTTTTTTTAATTATACTATAGGCCTTTCTTAAGTTGAAACTTTTAAAATTGATGAGTGGGAAGGCTGATAGGTATAACTTCTCGAAAAAAGGTCAAGCAACCAACTTAGTCAACGTAGCAGATAAGCTACGGGACAGTTCTGTCGGAAGTATATGATTTGCCTACCTAAATCCTTCAGCATTCACAACATGATATAAATTTATCACAAAATGATAAAAAAAATGAAATGAAATTAAATGATTGTCTTATAATCCACTGAACTAGTTTATACCTTGAAATTCTAGTGTCTTCAGTTTGAGGTCAGACATGGCCAGTTTGTAGCAGGTTTTGGATATCTGTTCTGGGGGAGTCGATGTCAAAGTGTGTCGAACATCTTGAGGTCCACTCATACGCTTGCAGTCTGTAATTCGTAAATGATTATGATTATGTAAAGTAAAAAAAAATTATACCAGCATAGAAATTATGCAATAAATATGAATTATAACTGTAGAAATGGGTGTAGGAAATTGAAAACTCTGAAGTTTTTACCAAAAGTGGGAAGTTGTAGTAGTATATTTCATCACTACGGCCTAAAGTTACTCTTTTTGACCCGAGGTCAAGTTTTACGATCATGGCGAAGCCGAGGTCGGAAAATGAGCGAGGGTTAAAAACACGCTTTTTGCCCGTGTGGTGAACTATATTTTTTGTCATATTGCATCATTAATTAACAAACTAAGCTAAAAAACGAAATAATTTTTATGTAAAGATAACCTCTCAAAATGACATCTAGCTTGTTTCAATTCTGCTAATGCAAATAAGCAGCTGTTTAGTAAGTGATTCAATTTTTTGTCTATTATGATTGTGCTATTATACCATTGTCGAGCAATCCACAACAATAGGCTAAAACCTCACCTAATAAATCAATCAATAAATAATTTCAATTGATACAAGTGCCACAATCGAAATTTACAACTGTTTACAACAGCTGATTTTTACTCCCTAGAGACTAAAAATGATTTTTACTCCCTAGAGACTAAAAATGATTTTTACTCCCTAGAGACTAAAAATGATTTTTACTCCCTAGAGACTAAAAATGATTTTTACTCCCTAGAGAGTAAAAATGGTACTTTAGACCCAACTCATCCATTAAAAATGGCTGTTTTTTCTGCAGTATGAGGAACAAAATTTTACACAATAGCATCCACTTTCAATGACACAACCTTTGCACAAACCAGTTTATCTTCGTAGCCAAGTAAAAATAGTGATCACCTTCAAATAAGGGTGCTGCTTCAATCTTAAGTTGGGTTGATTTCTGGAACCAGATGCCATTTTTCGTTGGTTTATCTACTAATGATTCTATCTAACACAGCATTTCACACAACATAAAATAAATATGCAGCTTCGTTTAGGTTTTTGTTTTGCACAAAAGTCTTAATTATTTTTTTCACGATTTTTAAAATTTGGCCAAAATTGGGTACGTAATTTTTATTATTGAAGTTATTTGAGTATCCAAAAATATACATGTATGTATACATAATGTATGTGAGGATATATGTTAATTAATACTGAGAAAGTTTCACTTCAAGCAGCTCTTAATGAAAGTCGTAAATAAATACGCTTACCTCCGTGTAAGAAACAGGTGTAAAAGTAGTAAATAACAGTGTTGACATCTGTGCAATTGTAGCGGCCCAGGAGATATTCTTGTGTTGAACAAACGTCGTACATGTTACCTGGAAAATGGAAAATGCTCTTTAGACAAAGTGTGACTTGCAAACAGTGCTAATCATACCATTGATTGTATACAATATAGATGGCAGGCTTATCGCTGCTCTAGCCTGTGAACAAGTTTTAGTTTAGAAATGGGTGAGAACTATTTAAAACCTTATGCCACCATTTGTATTTACAGTGCAAACTACCTAATTTAACTTCACACTTCACACTTATAATAAGTTGGTGTCAAACTTTTTAGGTGTTGAAAATATTGTTGCAATGTTTAATTTGTAAAAATAGATGTTATAGTGATGTGCTGTTTTGACTGTTTTTCTTTGCTCCGCCACCGTCAGACTAACAGGAGGATCCACATTTAGACCAAAACCAGTATATTCTGACAATGGCTGAAACTAGGTTCTTTTTATACAAAATAATCAAGGTAGATATTCAATGGTACTGACCTGGTTTACTGGCGGCTCTGAACACCCCGGGTCTATTAGACACTTCTGACTCCACTAGCAGGGTTATCTCTCCAGTATTGTTGTGGCTGCAAATGTTACGCTTTGAAAAATTATATTCTAGCTCTAGCAAATGCTGATCAAAAAAGAGCGTAATCATAGCCTCCTCTAAAAAAAGGCAGCGGTGAGACAAAAGTGGTAACACCGCTCACCTGGCAAACGGAAACATCTGTTGCACTATATAATGGAGCATATGCTAATGTTTATATTTTTCATGTTTGTTTTTGTTTTTTCCATGGCACCAGACATGACAGTGCGTTTCCACACACCAACACCAGAGCCTTGTTTTAGAGGAAACTTTGGCATAATACATTAGCTCAATGTTGTTGAATTTCTATATTGGAACAAACACAATCGACAAACTAAGAAAACATAGGTACAGTAACTATAGTTTAAAGGTTTAAAAGTCAAAAATACTATTCAATACTTTCTTTAAATAATATACAGTGGTAGGGTACAAAATGTTTTTTTAAAGCAAATTCAATTATGCAGTAGGACCCTGATAAGCGGAATCCAAATGAGCCAGAAAAATTGGGTAAACACTTTTTAATCCGAAAAGTAGAGAGAGTTAAATAAGCTTCTCACAGAATGTAAAACCTCTATTGTCATTCTTAATTTTTGATAATTAATATATGTGGCATCTAAAGTGCTAAAGTTTGCAGCAAATTGCCTTAAGTTTTGCTTGGTTAAAAGGTTTGTGTGTATGACATAAATCAGTGACTGACAGCAGCACATTCTAAAAAAAGCTACAACATGGGATTGGAACGTCTACTACTTTCTGTAACCAACATAGTTGGTCTTTCCCCACTAAATCAATAAAAACTAAGAATTAATGAGCCAGAAACTCTGATGGTTCCACCACTAAAATTATTCCAGTTAAGTGAAAAATCTCTGTGACAACCCCGTTGCTTTCCCCACTTACTTTGAACATTGACACAATGGCAAAATTGCTCTTGAAAGTGGTCAGTATTTTATAACAATTAATATCTGTGATACTTACTAAACAACAGACTTAAAAATCAGGTAAGACGTCAAATCCAGATGGAAGAACGTGTAGCAAACGTTGTCTATGTGGCTAGCATCACTGGCATTAAGACTGAACACTTCATACAGCGGGGACATGTCTGCAAACTAAAAATGAAGCTTGTTAATTTAGATGTGCTAGATATTACATGCTAACCAAGCAACAAAAATGAAAAATACTAAACTAAATTCAAGACATATTTTTAGCAAATTTCCCTAAACTTCTCAATTTCTTCTAAACCATTTTGTAGACTTAAAAGAAATAATTTAGCAAAATTAAGCTTTGTTGTAAGCTCCCTAAAATGGTTAAGGAGAAAATTAAAAAAAAAGGATAAATTAAGAATTTCAATTATGGATTATAAATAAACTAACTGTTGTAGTTTGCTTGTTTATAAATATATCCTATTCAAATTTGAAATTTTTTTGTATCATACTAAGCTATCATCATTTCAATAATAAAACACCTCACTACCTTCCCTGTAGCAGCAAACCTAAGTATTCATTAAAATTAATGTTAATTAAAAGTAAATAAATCTGACAATTATTTTAAGGGAATATTTTAGTGGAAATCTAGCCATGTGAATGGAAATTCGCTGAGACTGCAGGTTTATTGCGGCAGGGGTTTTTGTTTCTATATTTATTTATTCCTTGTCTTATAGTAAGTTTATGTTATTGGAGGAATTATTGCAGACAGGTTTCATCACAATTGGTAAAATGATCGTTCTAATTATTGTGGTATTCCGAAACTGACACATACTTTCTCCGATAAGCTTGTCAACAACCCTTATGGGTAAGCGGTGGAGCCATGCACTCAGCATAGCAACGCTGGTGGCGCTGCCTACGATTGACAGGCAAAGCTCTCTCAAAACACTTAATGCTTTTTACCATGCGGTTGGCATTCTGGGTAATAGTAGTATGTTTCCTGTGGCAGTGGGGAGTAACTATGGTATTTTATGGGTAAAATCAGCAAAATTCTGGTACCTGATGAACTGTAATTTTACAGCACTAGAGGGATAATATTTTACTTTGAGTGAGAAGGACTACAACATGTTAAATGTAAATTTAAATAATTAAACCTGTTTTTGTAAGTATCCTGTTTTTCAGATTTTTATGTGTCACACCATCCCAAAAAAACGTGTAAGTTTTTCGTAGACGATATTGTAACACGAATATGCCTAAAGAAACAGCTGATCAACATTCAACACAATATCAAGAATCAAGAAAAAGCGTAAGTTTTCCGAAGATTTGACACTCACATGTCTCAGACCCCTGGCTAGTGTGTTTGGGTTCTTGCAGGTGTCTCCGTACATGAACTCGTGTGGACAGTTGTCTGGCGTCTTCATCTCAAAGATGAGGAACACTGTGATTCCACACAGACAGTAGAGGCCCAGGATCAGAAGTGTGTACATAGGCCTCATGATATACGGGCTGAAATTAATGTCAAAAAAGATCATTCAATTTGTTAATTACTGTATCACAAAGGTTTGTTGGTAAAAGATATCTGGTTTTCTACTTAAGGTTTGGTACGGTTTTAGCGAATTTCCCATAAAGGGAATAATCTATTACGGTGGGTCAAAAGTTTTTAATTTTGAAAGTGGTTTAAAAGGGCTAAAATGGTTAATTTCCTAAAAAATCTATCAGTTTTTAAGTTTTGTTTTAATTGTTGCTGTTTGTGATTAAGTTATTTGTACCTACATAAACACTAACTCAAAAAAAACCTAATGAAAAGGAAAAATATATTTTGAATAGCATTTTAAAACTAATTGTTAAATTTATTGTTATTCAATAAAATTATTTTTGTCATACAACAAGTTTTCCAATACCTACTTAGTTTGTTGAGTTGTTAATCTAAAATTTGCCTACTAGTTTAAAATCGATACCTAAGTTAATTTGTATGCATAAAGGTGTATTTTACTGTAAACTTTTTTATCGGAAAGAAGTCTCTAGTGTTCAACAGAAAGGATTAAAATGATAATAGTTAAAAATCCTACGGATAAATAGTAATTTGTTGTAAAGACAACTCATGCCTTTTCTGTAGTACTCAAGTAGGAAGTGTTTGGAATGGAATCTTTATATCCTGTGATTACAGACATTTCCCAAACAATCATATTTTTTGGAAATCACTTCATAGAACATTTTACATTTAATCCTCGTAATCAATGTTTAACAAAAAACAAGGAGAAATTAACCGGCACTTACCTGTGATCTAAGTGTTCACTTTCAATATCAACGACTCTGAACTATCAGTTCCAACATTGCACACGTCTTCTCGTAATTTACGACTCTGCTTCAGATTCTCTTTTGACTTTGTGTTTATTGTACACTATTGTGAGGTTAAAAACTGAGTGTGTAAAAAGGTATGCTTAATATATATTTTAAAGATATTTGAAAATATTCACAATTGTTTATGATAGTTTTAAAGATTTTCTTTTGCAGTTGAAATTAGTTACAGTACAAATTAGAAACTGTTCTATAACCAACTATTCTATTACATTCACTTCATATTTACAAAAAGAACAGATATAAAAGTGTTAGACATTATTTCAACGATATTAAATTTAAAATATGAATTAGTTTTAAAAAAGTTATAGCTTAGTAATTATTTTTAGTAAAGTAAATAACAAGAGTAGAAATATTTGGTTAACACCCTTTTAATTGAGTAATCTCTTAAAATTATAATCTATAAATTTATACTAAGATTGAATAGTTATTGCATGAAAAAACTATTTTCGCATGCAGAGTATAGCTCAGCATAATGGGCAACTATTTGTTAATCCTTCAACTAAGCAATATTTTTATTGGTCAACATATTACCCAACAAATCATGCTTTAGCTGATAAAGCTAGTATTGTTATCACTATACCAACATATCCTTATCAGTAGGCTTAACTTGACCAAGACAAGACAGGATTCAGTTTCTTAGTTTTACCGATTTTGATAATACAGTAATACTTAGTTTTGTCTCTTGTTCATTCAAGGTTTGAGTTTAAGGTGAGGTTATTTGGCTTTTATTGGCTGTAAGTAGATTTTTTTTACAGAATTTAGAGGTTAGATGTTTGTGCATGATAACTAGTCCAGTTCTCTTGGAGTAACAGGTAGGCAGACATAGTTAAGTTGCTCTAAAACAAGATTTATGATAAAAGATTTAGATGATTTTGGTAAAATAATCCTTTAAATATATCCTTTTCCTAAATGATCATTGCTTCAAGTTTCAGCCCTGTGTCTATACTAATTTCAATTTAGCCCATATATTAGCAATCGACTAGATGTTTTCTGTGGCTTGGTTATTTTAAGAAAGGAATTGAATTTAAGAACTAATATCTTACAGTTTTGAGGAGAGTTAACTTGCATAATAAAAAAAACACCAAGAGTAAATAACAGTCTTCATAAGGTCAAGTAATAACTATATATAATATGTCCGAAATATTGTAATTCTATTCAAAATACAATAGTTGACCTAAAATAATTTACAACAGTGTGGTTAACCCTTTCAGTGCTATGCAACGATATATCGTTGTGCGTCTTTTTCCCGAAAAGTGCTATGGAACAATATATTGTTGTTTGAGTTTCATCTGAAAAGCGCTTTTTTTAGGTATTGTAACCGTCAGTTAAATTTTGTATTATTCCAGGTTTCTGTCAATTTTTCTGATTATTCAAATGGCGCAGTTCAAGTTGAAGTTTCTTCTCTGCCTGGCGTTTTGCTTGTTTGCTGCCTGTTTGGGAACTCGAACTTGTAGAGAGAAAAAAGACTGACGATGAACAACTTACGATGTATCTTGTATTACTTTCACTCAGAGATGGGCTAAGTTACTTTCAATAAATGCTTAAGTTTTACGAGTGATTATTAATTTATGTTTACTTACACCAGTGAGATTAAGTCAAATTGGTGGAGTGAAGAACAAAATTGGTAACTGATTAATTTCAAGCCCTTACATTCAAGGAGTTTATAAAAACGAAAAAAAAATTCTTAGCTTAACCGTTAGTTATAGCACACATTGTATTAATCCAACAATCTCCTGGTATTGAATTGTCGATTCATCTGTATTTAAATTTTGATGACGAGCCATTATTTTTTCACGATTATTTATGTTTTGGTGCCTCTGTCATAGAGTTTTCAATGATTATTTATTTTTCAACAGTTTATTGTTAACTACCAGCAAAATTTTAATACTTTAAAGCCAACAGCGGATGAAAAGTAGAAGTTTACATATCATCTACTTATACGAAAACTTGGATCTCATTTAGATTTCAGTATAATTTGTGGTTATATAATTTCAACATCAAACAACAAAATCACCATTAATAGTGGTATAATAGCACAGTAATATATATAATTTTTTTATGTTTTTTAACAAGGCAAAATAGTTGATAGGCCTAAGGCCTACATCTTTTAAAAATTGCTTCAAACCCGAAACATGCAAAAAGTAAAGTCAATCAATGATCAGGTGATGATATGAAGTCCAGTTGAGAAATATTACTTCTCCGCATTTACACAAAGCCAGATGGCAGGCAGGTTACCTGCCTCAGGTAACTCGAAATACACTAGAGGCAGGTAACCTGCCTGGTAACTTGCCTGTGTAAAAGAGGCCTAACAGCTACTACCCTTGATTGTCTTGACTCTTGGCAAGACTGTAAGAGAAAAAAATAATTGTTAGTTGATCGCAAGGAAAAGTATTTTTAAACGAGTAATAAAGTTTATTAACAACATTATAAATGTTAAAACTTATATAGACAATAGAAGTGATGTAAAATAAATATACAGACACAACAATAATTCAAATCAACACCACAGAAAGAAACTGTACAACAGCAAATATTTTGGAAAACACTGGAGAATACTTACACTTTTGACACCAAACTAAAACACAGGTTAATCATTTGAAGTTTGAAAACTGGAAAAGAATACTGCATGAGGGGTTGAGAAACTTGATTACGGTTTAACTGAAACTCAAATTTTAGAAATTACCTACTTTTTTGACAAAGATTGTTGTTAATGGAATATTTGGTTCGGTAACATTTGTAAAACTGCCTATGGCAAGATTAAAGGTGTATTTTTTATTGCTTAAGCAATACCGTACTTTTAAATTATAAAACTGTCAAAAAAATGTGCCAAAACAACAGCACAGTAAACCAATCAGGCTATAACTTATAGATCTGTATATGTTATCAAATCGGTAACATGTTCAGTATGCCACCATTTTGTTTCTTCAAACGTTGAGAAGCTTACATTTTCACAAAATATTTTCAAAATCTACTTTATAAATTGAAGTTTTACATATTTTGGTACATAATCAGCCAAGTAATATAAAACCAAATGCCAAAACCCCTTTGGGGCATTCTGTACATATCCGAACATCAAACACTAACACCTGTATGAACATGATACGAAGTAGAAATTACCAAGTGATCGATGAAAATATAGGGTGAGTAAATTATTAGGTTATACTTACATAAAATTTGTTACAAAAATAAAAAATCCCACTGAGCTTACATGTCAAACACATTCCTCCTACAACATTCTTGAGTAACTACAGTAGGGTCTGATAATTTTATCCCACCTTTGGTTTGCTGCCTGGTATTAAACATGAACGAACTACAACACAAAACTTCGGTCACAACTTAGGTACGCCAACTGTTCGCTCATCGATCATGTTTTATGATCTACGACGCAACCGAAAAGTACAGTTATTGGCATAACATCCCATGCCTGAAGTTCACAAGTTGTAACAAATTAGATGAAGAGTAGAAATTGTCCTACCACAGTCGCTGCCAGATTCGACTGCTGTTAAGTAAGGAAATCGCAAATCATTGAATCATTTGTCTCAGCAAGCCAGGTTCTTCTTAGTTAGATCAATTGGAGGTTTCAGGTAAGGTTTGTAATCACTTTACCTATTATGTTGGGGGTTCATTATTAGGGTACATCTCCTTCAGAAGTTTCAGTAAAACCTCAAATCTCTGTTGGATCTGAAAAAATAAAACAATAATTAGGTTTTACTTCATACACCATTAGTAAAATACTTATGATCAAAAAGTAAGTACTCTTAAGTAGGCTACTTTATAAAAAAACATTATTTACCAATTAACTTCATTAATTGTTAATTTGTTAATTAACTTTGTCAAACCAATTAATTTAAGTCGTTTATCAATTTAGTCTAGCCACAGTTTAGGAAAATATTGTTTTATTGAGAATTTAGATTGATTTGTGCAAATTTCAGATAGTTTCTAGCACCGGTACTGGTACATAATAGTATATTAATTACATTACTAATCAAGAAAATAGACGTTTACCGGACGAGTACAGTTGTTCTATTTCGTGGGATTAACATACAAGTACGGTAAAGACATTTTGGACGAGAGATGTACAATATATATTGTCAACTACTCTAAACTATAAGTAACAGAGATATTGGACAGAAAAAAAACTAAAAAAAAACAAGTTTATATCTTAAGTTTTGAAAGTTGTTTAGTTCTGGGCGAATTGTTTGCGTTCGAGAGATGTGGCCGCCGCAATGTCGATACTGGTTATTGTTATTAGCTAAATGTATTTTTTTTGTAACGTGTGTAGTGACTATTTTGTTAATAATTAATATTCATTGATGATAAAAGGCATAGTGGATGCCTGAAGATGTCATTGTGTTGACGAAACATGTCACAAATTAGCAGTGAATAGGAAATTTATTTCCACAACTTAACCTCTTTATTAATATTTGAGGTTCCAGTAGTATGAAATATAATTGAATTATTATTTATTTCAATTAAAATGAATTTTTTTTGTAAATTCTCTGATACATTTTTGTGACAGCATATTTTTTTACAATTACAGACCCCTCCCATTGCCTTTGATCACCAGCTGCTACAACATTAAATGAGACAGTTAACCAAAGTCAATATGATATGTTCTTATAGAATAATTATAAACTCCAATAAAAGTTCAATCAATTCTTACCTCTTCCTGTGTGCGGTTTGGTAAATGCAGACTTGCTGTTCTGAATGTCTGCTCGAGTCCACTTTCATGTTGAAAAGTCAACAAGATGATTTTATCCTCTTCTTTTGTCCACTCTTTGAATGAAGAGTCGTCATGACTGGATCCACTTGGCGTTTGAAGATTCACATTTTCTGCACACTGTTCAGCACACACATCAACAATTTCTAAAACTTCTGTTTTAATTTCATAACTTGCTTCACTAAATGGTTGATCAACATTCATTTGCTCCATAACATCATGAGCAGAGCTTACTGACATTGGCTCAACCTTCACAATGTCAATGTCAACTTTCTCTTTAGATGAAGACTCTAACTCAGTCTGTTTAACTTGTTCCACTTTTGTAGTTCCTGCAATCTTATCAGCAGTCTTTGACAAGCTTTCACTTTTTGGATTGTTATCTTCGTTTGGTTTCAATCTTTCCTCGTATATGTCATTTCTTGTTTCACAAATTTCTATTTCACTATGGTCGAAATCATCCACTTCCTCGTCGAAGCTGCATTCCAAATCTTTCGGATTATCTTCAGCTTCAATACTGCTCTCATTTTCAGAATTCGCACCTTTGTTCAAATACTCCTCTTCGTCTTCTTCAGTATTACAATCGTTCTCCAGAACTATTTCATCACAGTCGTGCTCATCAGCGCCCTGTTTTATTTCGCCGTCAACGTTTCCCTGTGGGTTGTTATCTGCTTTTGAGTCAGGCAATGGGAAAATCCCATCTAAAACTTCTTCTTTGTTTTCGATTGTTTCTTTCTTGCTGACTTTTGGTTTTGAGTTGCGAGTCCTGGGTGTTCTCGGAGACTTTTTATTGACTCCACAGTCTTCTTCGGAATCTGAAACAGAATGATATTTTTAACTGTGTAACGTTTATGTAAGGCTTTCCACTCTCGTAGACTTATCATTAAACTTACAACATTGGTTCAAATTCAAAAATATATCCCCATGTACAACCCTAAAGACTAATACATCTCTCGTCTCCAATGGTTAATAACCATCTTAAATTGCTTATACAAACAAAATGGTAATTTATTGATGGTGTGAAACATTTGGCATGATCATCTTGCTACTTGTGAGAGTCTGTCTAAAATGTTACTTCTGGCCAACTAAATGATGTATGCCTGAAATCACACTTTATTTGTATGAGTATTGGCATGTATGCATGGCATGTGTTCACTTCAATGGATGTATTGGAGTATATTTTTTGTTATTTGACTCAGGGCCGGTTCTAGGAATTTTTCAGAGTTAAGCGAACACCCGAATCAGCGCCACTTTGAATTCCCCCCCCCCCCCCAAACCCATGAACATAACTTAACCGTATTTGTGAATTTTTTCCCAATAATTTTGGGAAGAATTTTTTTATAAGTTTAGGTAGAAGAATACTAACTTGCAATAAATGGCTGTTTATTATTCGCAGAAATGTGACATTTATACACTTTTACTCATCATATAAACTATAGCAAAACCAAGGACACACTAAAAAAACAGGCCGTAATGTAATGCTCGTCAAGCATGACGTCACGATAGAAGACGGCAATGACGTAATGTTTGCCGTTTGTGATCAGCTGCTTGTTTTAATCTTTCCTTGGAAAATAAATACCTACGTCATTGCCGTCTTCTATCGTGACTTCTTTGGGCTGACTGGACTCGTCACCAGATGATTTCTACAAAAGTCTACTCATTGATTTGGCTTTTTTTTTCTTCCTCTTCCAAATTCGCCTTACGCTTTCTATGATAAGCGCCAGACGGTTTTTTTTTCTGCCATTGTTTTCATAGTTTCGACTCGCAATATGCTTTACTCATTCATTCAGTTTATACTTTCTTTTTATTTAATGCGCTAATTATAAATTAAACTTAAAACACTCGTAATAATTCGCTTATCAACAATCATGAATCATCAAAACAATGCCAATACACGATACCGATACGGTATAGGCCTACGCACGATTACTAGAAAAATACCGGTATGGATCATAAACATAAACAAATGACGTTTTTGGCCCGAAAATAAACATTATTTAACATTGCTTAAATGGAACTGCCAAAACATGTGTTCAATGCTATTAGTATAGGATTCGGGCCAACAACGTCATTTGTTTATGTTTATGATCCATACCGGTATTTTTCTAGTAATCGTGGGCCTACGTATACAACTAAAAGAGTGCAATACAACGTAGTGCTCTGCTCTAGGATCAGAGGCAGAAAGGAGTGAAAGAAAGGGGAAGTTTCTTGTTGTGACAAGTGGCGCTGCGCGCTTGCTTATCTCGAGCATGAGCGATTCGTGAAATGAAACCCATAGGTGCCGCGCTGGCGCTGACGCTGCCGACTGCCGAGCGTCAGCTCAGTTCAAATAGAAACTGCAAATGGCATTGAGCCCTTGAGTTGTAGTGCTGTACAAATATACACAATTTTCAAGTGCTGTTGGTACAAACAGAATAAATGCCTTTATTGTGGTGCTTTGAATACCTACTTGAACTCTGAGCAAAAATAAACAAAAATACGTTGTTCACGTAAAAATAAATGTTCCGTTGGCGCCACGGCGCCACTTTTTCGTGGCGCCATATGCGGCCGCGTAGTTCGCGTATGGGTTAAACCGGCCCTGATTTGACTTGGGCATGGAAGAGAGCGTGATTAGTTTAAAGTCATAAAATTATTATTAAAATTATCATTATTTGTTATTGGACAAATCATGACCATTGAAATTGTTTTGTAATAAAAATAGATAAAATAGTACAATAACTATGGCCATGGGGCATAATCTGGTTTAGTGGTTCGGGACTTCGGTCCTCAAAGTTCCAGGTTCAAATCCTGTCAATCACCAATGGATTTTATCCAAGTGATAAAGCCACGACCCTCTAACCTAGCCTGAAGTAATAAGAATATGATTCCGGTATAGAGCCTAGTGTCCTATAAAAGTGAAAGTTGAAGAAAATAGCACTTTTTAAGGAGCTGATTAACCAACCTGCATTTGGTTTATTGTCGAAAAGGCCAGGAGAATGTGTTGTTTTAGGCACCAATCGTCGTCTGCTCCGTGATTTCTCTGCTTCCTCCCATTTGAGCAGATCCAGATGTTTCTTGTCCTTGAACTCGATCATGGCTGGCCGCAGAGATTTTCCACACTGCATGTATACTCTTCCATTCAGATACTGTCGATAATATTGGTGTGAACGTTTTGATATGCAGACAAAACTAAAGCGTGTTTCAACCAATGGATGATTACTTTGTGATGAGTGAGATACCTTGTGTACTGTCTAAAATCAGCTGTTAATTTATCGAGGGAAATTTATGAAGAGCCCAATAATTAAGATTGACTGTTACCAGTTTGAACAATTATAAATGAAACATTACACTCAAATAGCCAACCAATGTTAACAGCCATTTTGTTATCTGTTGACTTACAAAGTAAAATTAACTCCCTCTCATTTAGTTCAGACTTTGGGTAGTTTGGACAACTATCTGCATGACTCACACACACTTGGGCTTTTCATTAAGACTAGAATAGAACCAGCTGATCTTGATTGGTGACAAAGCTTTACAAGATAACCACACCGATTTCACATTCTTTTCCCTATCTTACTCGGTTTATTAAGTTATACAATTTAGGCTTAATAAAACGCTATATACTAAATTCTCTAACATTTTTATCACAAATTAATTATGACAACCCCCCCACCATGGCATTTGGGGTTGTATATCAATCTATTTAGTAACAAGACTTACAGTAGGCCTAATTGTAATAATGACAATAATAGCAAACCAATTTCTGCAGAACACACATCATTTAACTAACTCTGACTGATTTTACCTTAATGCCGCAAGCAAAACAGTGCCGAGTCTGAGCCTGATGACAGCTGCAGATGCATTTATCAGTGCCGTAAGGGTCGGCAAGATCAGGTACGATGATCGTCTCACACTCTGATTCTTCCTTGGTGTCAGCTTGTTCAAAATCTGTCATTAGGCTGTTGAGCAAAAAGTCAATAACATTTAGGCAGTAAAAATGTTGAAAATCAACAAGGAATAAGCTACCTCAAATTCTGCCAATTAATACATACTACTGCAGTGATAGGTCATTCAAGGCTAGATCTATGCTCATTTGTAGAGGCTTAGGCGATCAGAACTCAGAAGTGTGACTTACAAGTCACAATCACGAGGAATGGGATTGGAGAGGTACTAGTTGCATTTATGTTATAAAATAACCTAACAATCAATTCAGGGTGCTCAATACTTATTCTGTATAACCTATTAAGTTTAAAATTGTAACTTTTTGAAACCAGCTGGAAAAATAAGTTACCTACTCACCAAGAATTTTAACTTCATCCGAGGGTAGAAATGAATGTTTCCCATTTTTGTGCTCAAACCATAAAATTTTTGAAATTTCTTTCTAATATATTTTGGGGAGCTTAAAAAACAAATAATTCATAATACTGAAGCGTTGTTATATACCAAATGGTTACAGAAAAATTCAAAAAACTATAAATTTAAAATTCTCTTATTATATTTATGGAGAATAAAATTTTTTATTTGTTAAATAACTAGTCCAGAAACCAGAAACGCTACAACCAGAAAATGAAGCTGATGACTAAGTATATGATCAGGGGGTGTATAGGATCAACATTTGGGGATCCTTATATATAATACGTGAAGGCGATTTCTACAAAACACTACTCCTCCGTTAATAATGGACGGATTTTTACAAACAACGTGTCAAAATAAAGTATTTTTTGTGTAGACGCCCCCTTTCACAAATTCGTGTAATGAACATGCTCGGGCTTTGCCCCACAGGCCATCAAAGTTGGAGTTTTTCCCATAAGATTAACATGGGGGAATCTAAATATTTAATTGGAAACTTTGTCCCCACTAATTTGAGAAAACGGGTGGGCGTAGAAACTTGGTATAGGTGTCCAAAGAAAGGTCTTGGTCTGTAGATGGGTTATCAAAAGAAAACCTAAGCAAAATCCCTTAGGGCTCTGCCCCAGAATACTTTAAAGATCCCTCCACAGAGTTGTTTACATTTTGGCCATGTGAATAATACTTTTTAATGAAACAGCTGTTGATTTTAAAATTGTATTTCAAACAACACACATATATTGGGAGTTACTGAATTCTACCAAATAATTATTTGCAATGTTATTTTCTGATTTTAAAATTGGGTTTCTTCTTTATCATGTAATGTTTTGCAATATGACGTTCCATTACGAAATCAGTGGAAAATCCTTTTATCACAGAAATTCTTAAATCATTTCTTATTGAACTATCTTATATCTATTGTACGGGTTGGTGTCTGCCTTTTTCACCCCTTTTGCCTACATTTTATCATATTATTCTACACATATAAAATATTTATGTAGAAATATCTGCTCTTATCGTGTCTAATAAAATCCAATTATAGAAACCTTGCCTAAAATGGTACCCATCTTGACAAATTATTTGCACCTGCCTATATTACGAACTTTGGCGCACTGGGTCGGTAACATTATTGAAAATAACACGACATTTTGGCTCTAAAATATGGTACAAAGAGAAAATACTATTTAAGCATCTACTGTCATTAAAGAAAGGTCATAGGCTATTCCTTTTAAACTAGATCACATAATCCTTTATAAGATACGTTGATTAACAATATGTTAACGTCAATATATACATAACAGCCAATTTACAGTATTTTTGCTTTTTGAAAATGTCCCATTGCTATGTCATTTGTATTATTTGTTGCCAATGAAGCCGCAAGACCATATGAACTAGGAGGCCCCTAACAGTTCAAGAATAAAAGCCAACTTCACTTCAAGTATTCCACAACACCTAACATTCCGTAGAGAGATTATATTGACAACTTAATGTTATTGATAAGGCTGAGACAACTAACTGACATCCCCCATGTCAAGGAATTCCAGCTTTAACAGTAACCCCACAATCAATTTATCAAAACTATGCTAGAGGGTTATTCATTGGCACAGAAGTACGATATAAACTGATGCGACGTGACGAAGGAAAAATCAAACTTGCACTGTAACGGATATACCTCCCTTTGAAGTTAGAATATGTCTTCCCAAATAATATTTCCTTTTGAAATAAAATCATATTACACTGATGAAATCACGGAAGTGTTTAACTACAAAAGATTCACCAATACGATTTTAATATTAATTAAAGGTTCTTCCAAAGGAAGAGATGCCATATAACATACTAATAATAACTCCGATGACGTATGGTATGGGAAATATTTTATTCATTGAATGATCAACCAAATTTGGCCACTAACGCAATTAATATCATTATTGTTTTTACACTTATTACTCTTTAACCAATGCTAAATGCTCAAAATATATATATTTCACCCAATTTATCGCAGTTAGATGAATTAACGTAAGCTTTGAAAGTAACCGTCGATTTCGACGAGTTTCACCTAGTTGTATAGGATAGGGGTTGTATGATCAGCTAAGTATAGAACTGCGGGACTTGGCCAACCACCCAATTTCTCCCTTCCCCTATCCTACCCTCAGGTCCCTCTTTTCCCCCACCTGTCAGGTGGCCTCTCTCCAGGAAGTAGGCCCAAGAACAAGTTGGTCAGTAAGGGGCTGGACTTGATCAGAGGTAGAATACTCTCCTTAACATCGATCAATGTAACGTTCTGCCTCGATGTGAGAGACTCTAGAGCTGTGTGAACTTGTCGCACTTGACGCTTCATCAAGAGAATCTGTCAACAAATGCTGAGTGTAATGACACACAGAAAGTAGAGCCTTTTACCTAGTATAATCTGTAGGATTCAACCAAATCAAATTGTTGCAGAAAGCATGTTAATAAACAATTTTTGTTATCGCAACGGGCTTACTTGAATATAAAAGAGTCCAATCTGGCACTAGGCCACAATACAAAAGCTTTACACACAAAAAAATATAATATTTCACTGCCGAATCGAAGATACCTACCCCTCTTCGTTTGAATATTCTATGGTTAAAAATGCTGTCAGTAATGGTGAAATATCCTAATTTTTGTGTATAGTATAAAGCTTTTGTGTTTCTTGTGCAATGTAGGACAAGAAGCATTTAGGTTAGCCTGTTTTCCTAACAAATATCCTTAAAACAAAAGGCCCTTGTTCGATATGTTACATCCTCAACCCTTAACCCTTAAATTAATAAGCTAACTTAAACCTCAAAATGTTATCCTCTTTCAGACAAGATCACACCACTTATCCTACACTCATATTTGGCTTAAATTACGCACATAATGGCGTCCCCATCTTAAATAATTGATATAATTGGTATCAGATTAAAGTATTAGAATGGTCAATGACAATACCTTGCCACACATGTTGCGACAGTCCAAACAATATTCCTGCTGTGCTCAACATTTCACTCTTTTTAGTCTTTTTTATTGAAAAATCTCATTGAACTTTGTACATGTAAATTATTGCCATGGCATGAGGAATGGACAAATCCATGTCAGAGCATTGACACCTACAGCTTAACAACTGTTTGCATGATGTGCGCATGTTACATCATAATAGGTTCTAAAGGAAGTCAATTTGATTTAAAGAATGACCTTAACTTTTGTCCATTTGGTGAACTTCTAAGAAACACAAGGCACCACAAAATTAGAAGTATTAAGGCAAATGCCTTCCGAAAAAGATATAGTACATGGGAAGTGCTTGAAGAAGTACATTGTCTTTCCTCTGGCGGAAGCACTAGAAGAGTGGATATTTTGTTGATTGAAAGATAAACAAACAAAGGGATAATTCTTAATCCAATAATTTGATATGAAATCAACCTAATTAAGTAAATGAGGAAAAGAAATAAATTTATGAATCAACCTTGGAATATTTCAAGCAAAATTTCAAAAATATAGGTGATTGTATTGTATATTGGCTCTAGAGGAACATTATCAAAATGTTTTGTGAAATTTTGGAAAAATATGATTTTGACAGATCCTTTTGAAAATTACTATACTTGAAACATTAATAGGTTCATTGACCATAATGAGAAATCATTTATAAGGCAAACATAAAAATTAATCAGTCTTATAGCTGTTATAATCCTTCAATATTTTAAGTGTATATTTTTTCTGTGTCATTGGCAAACTTATTTTTTAAGACAGACATGTTTATTTTTATTAATAAATTGTTTTCTCTCTGTATAGCTCTTTGAAATACAGCAGTTTAGTATAGTCAGGTGTTATAAGCAATAAACTATATACTACTGGTAACTTACGTTGAGTTTGCGAAAGAACTCGGTCATCTTGTCGAGACTGAAGAAGTCCATGACTCTGTTGACCTCGAGTGCTTGGTGAGGCAAGAGGAACTTGAGGAACTCATCAATCAGGTCAGTGTGAGAACTCAGGAGAATTTCCATCTTGCGGTAGAGTTCCACAGGCTTCCTTTCACCCTCTGGTTTTTCCTATAGCGAATTTGACTTTAAAATCAATCAATCAATCAATCAATCAATCAATCAATCAATGAGATGGGAACGCCACCTAGGTGCGTATTTTAACCCAAATATGAGTGAAGGATGATTGTAGATGGTGTGTGATGACCTGTGTAGCTTTGTTACTGACTAAGATCAGCTGTTTCATTAGTCAGGATCATTTATTTAAAGCCCAATGATCAGGAACAGCTGGGTCCAGTTTCAAACCATCAAAAAGCTACTTACATTTCTCAGGATCGAACCGGCGACCTTTCGATTACTAGGCGAGCACTATAACCACTCAGCTATCCAGCCAGTGTAATAAATAGTAAAAAGAATACAAAAAGCCTAAAACTCATTTTCATAGCCCCAGGATTGCGTTTAGATGACAAATAATACCTAAACGTGTCTCGTCAGACAATTCATGACGTGTAGTATCAAACGTGCTACATATGTTCTGGCGGTTATTTAAATAACACAGCCAAGTGGATCTTTTTGTTAGCCTGACGATGGTGGAGTTATTTAAATAACCACCGAAACATATGTAGCACGTTTGATACTACATATCATGAATTGTCTGACGGGGTACATTTAGCTATTATTTGTCACAAAAAGCTTTATGTGAAGTTTAATTATCGTAATATCATATAATAAGCTGATCTGTTAAATTTTGTTAATGTATTTTTATCATGTAGAGATAAGTATAATTACTGGGTATTTACCCGGTCCACATCCCTATGGCACAACCCTATTCTTTATTTAGGATCGAATGTGAAGAAAGGAACCAAAGTTAATTGTACGGTTTTTAAGGAATCAATATTCAAAGAAAAGGGATTCTAATGTACAACATGAACATTGAAAACAATATAATACTCAAAACTAGATGACGATTTTCTTACCTCGAAACTGACAAGTTCTTGGACGAACTGTGCCCATTTTTCATCATCCAGACGAGTTTTGACTTTTTGAAAATAAGCTTCAGCAAAACCTAAAACAAAAACAAAATAATCTCAATAATAGTTGAATAGCAATGACATGAATTGTCTCTTACTTATTTGTTAAATGTCGGTGAGTGACACTAATCCAAAGGGTTGCTGCGTTTTTTTAGGCAAATAAGAGTAAAAATTAGTGTAAGATAAATTATGACAGCTGTGTTACTGACAAGGATAAAATGTTTATAGAACAAGAATAATTTATTAAAAGCCTAATGACCAAGGAAAGTTGGGCCCAGTTTCAAGACATCAAGGAATGCTAGGTGAACCAGCGATCAACTGAATATTGGATGAACAGTGATCTATGGTGTGAAAATATTACGGATTGAAACACATTAAACTTTTCAATACCCCGTCGCAGCAAACCTGCATACTAAGCGAATTTCCATTTACCCGGCTTGATTTCTACTAAAATATTCCCTATAAATTTTCAGATTTATTTCCTATTTAAATAACATTAATTTTAGTGAGTGGTTAGGTTTGCTGCTACGGGGAAGATGTTAAGGTGTGTTTTTTCAAATGAAATATTGATAGCTTAGTATGAAATAAACCAAATTGCCAAATTTGATTAAAATATATCTATAAACAAGCAAACTAGAACAGTTTTATTTATTCTCCATAAGAATAACATGGGAATTTTAAATTTACAATTTTTTTTAATTTTCTCCGTAGTCAATGAACATTCAAAAACACTTCAATATACCAAATTATTTGTTTTTTTAAGCTCTTCAAAATAAAACCCCCCATAACCCCTGATCCCATGGTCCGATTATGCTGGTTCGCGAACTCGTTCGAATAAATGTAGGTTTACATGTTTGTACCAAATTTCATCAAAATCGGATCAATTTTGCTCGAGTTATCGCGCTAACGGACACATATATAAATATATATATATATATATATATATATATATAATTTCATCAAAATCGGATCAATTTTGCTCGAGTTATCGCGCTAACGGACACAAATATAAATATATATATATATATATGAATTTGAACGGATGGTGTTTTTGGCCTCTGGGGACCTCAAAACGAAAAAGTAAATCGGTCCCGGGTCTAGGTCTTACCATGAGACCTACGGTAATAGCTTATTCCCTATATGGGAAATTCGCTAAAAACTAACTAAAACTTGCTACGGGCACAAAGACAATTGAAATATACTATATTTCATCAGTAAATTGACTCTTTTAGCCTCAAGTATAAGCAACAAAGCAAAGAGTAAAAGAAGGTGAAAGACAGTTCTTCCAAATGAACCCTCAATACATCATCATTTACATGCACTTGAAATGTTATTACTGACAAATCCTGTTTCAGGTTAGGCTATTTTAGGTTGGGTTAACAATTGAGGCATAAAGCATAACCTAAAACTTAGATTGTGTAGGCCTGTTACAACTTATAGCCTATAGTTGTAAAGAATTAAAGGAAAAATACAAAACAGTACGGCTGACCCTGACTTCAGCTAATTCATTTCCCTAGGGATAAAAGAGCCACTTTGGTCTTGGAAAGCTTATGTTGAAAACAGCTGTTTTCGCTATAATACGACAGAAAGGTGTTTGGACAACCTTAAATGCGACTATCCGCAGTACTATCCTGATAATTAGACCAATTCGTATATACAAAAAAAAAAGGAAAAAATGTGGTTCGGATCCACTAGCCTACAAACTGTAGGTCCCTTAGTTGCCATTAGCTGTATGGGCTATTAATTAACAGCTGTGTCTAAGGAATATGTAGGCCTTAGAAACTAACAAGACTACAAGATCGCGCCACTCATCCTACACTCATCTCCATTCATACTTGGCTTAAAATACCTACTTTGTATGGTCACCATTATGCACATTATATTATGGTACGTTTAGCCATAGGGTATGGCTACATAAGTTGGTTTTACCACTATAAAGGTAATTTTGAGTTTGGATCCAAAAGACTTAGACTTAATTTCAATTCTAAAATTTATAAAAGTAATTTGTAACGACCCAAAACCCGTAAAGGGGTAAAAACCCGATTTTTAAAAGTTTCATATTAAATATTATAATTGTCTACGTTCGGGGTAAGCCGCGCCCGCGTTGTCAGCGGCATCGTAGGGGCAATGGTCCTACGTCATCGCAGAGGGGAGGGCGTTAGTTACCTACCCCGCCGCCAGGGGCGATGGCGAAGAAGGGCCAGAAGAGCAGACCTCACGGTCAGTCGTCCACCCGCTACCGAACCGTCAGTACGCTTGCTGTTTGGAGACAATCCAACAGTCTATAACCTCCTAAATTCTGGTCAATTAAAGATTTCCCCCGTTCCTGGTAGAATCATAAGTCATCAGGTTAGTGTACTACCGAATTTATTTTGTTTAATCTCATTTTTAGAGAAGTTTTATTATTTTTATTTTACTGTGCCGCAGTCGCGCGCACCCCGCACGCTTTTTCACGTACGAGCACACTACCTTTTGTCTTAAACCAGCTTCGGAAATCAGTTAAGTTGCCGGAACGGTTTACGTACGACTTACCCCGTTACCCCGGACCGTCCTACGTAAATTTGGTTTAAAAACCCCGTATCGACTCTGGTGATCGACCGAGTCTAATTTTCCCGACAAGTTTACTTTGGTGATTACCAAGTATAACGACCGGATCACGTTTTAGTTCAGTTTCTAATTAATTAGGCTTATTCGCATTTCGATAGGTTATTCAAAATTCTAAATTTAACTTTACATATTTTTCGAGTGGCTATGATGAGCACTTGTTGAAGGTAAGCTTAACATTGTAAGCATTATTGTTGTAATTAATATTCTGAGCCAATAAACTCGAAACGATAATTAATTAACGAACACGTTAGAGTCCTGGACTATCTCATAGTAGGCTAAGCTATCTGGACAGATTTAAGGTGTGACAGAATTTCAGGTGAGACGACAATTACGTACTTTAAAATCTCAATTTTGTCTCTCAACCCGAAATTTCGTCATATCAAATGGCGATCCGAACAGGGACTATTGAATGTTAAATATATTTTTATGGCGCCCGAAGGCATAGTCGATAATTAATTGTTTTGGCTCAGAATTTAATAAATATTACACATACGAACATTACCATAATCAGTGTTGTGTACGAGACGTTACAGTGGAATATTGGTTGTATACCGTAGAACTAGATACGATTAAACGTCAGTACTGTTGTTTAACGTACTACGTTTGTGTAATAGAATTACAGGATATTTATTGGAATTTAATTGACTTCGAACTTAACCGTTTATACACCGTGTTTATCTGTACCATTGTTTATACATTTCCTCTGATAATTTATTATTATTCGATTATAATTATTTAAGTAGGAAATAGTTAACACTGCCTTTCGATTTAATTAAGAATATTCTGTAAGAATTGTTCTGCATCAAGAAGTCTAGTCGACCTGTTAGTTCACTAGTGTTGCGCTTGCCTATTGTTCTCTGTATGAATGGGCAAGAGATAAGAGCGGCCCGATCAGCTGTTTGATAACGGTTTGTTATTGGAGTTTCCCCGTAGTTCTTTCAATTCTAGTGGGCTTATTTCTGACAATATTTACATCCATTGCATTGCGTAATATTTATAACGAAATTGACGCGCTTTAAATATTTGGGATCAGAACTGTTTTATAATAATATTGTTGATTAACATATTGTTATACTTCTGGTTGTCCTAATACTTAACAGCAATTAGAATACCCCAGTTTTATTGTATTGTAATACAATATTGTTACACACAGGAAATAACATTGTTTAATATAATAATACAGGATTATTATATTTTGGATTGAGACTAAATACGACGGTTTACGTATACGTTAGTGATATAATAATATTGTTGGTTAACATATTATTGTATTGCTCAGTAACAATTAGTTCACAACGATCATTAGGCTAACGTATTATCGGAACTTTGTTTACTTTTTTTCGATTGTAAACATTGATTGTAGGGGTATTGTATCAGTGGTTTAAATATTATACTGAACATTTGCGATTAGCGACGAGCCTTACGACAGTTACACAGTCTTTTACGTATTTTTTCGACAACAACCATTATCGTCGACTGTTGTATTTCCTAATAATAATTTAAAAATGACACCTTGGGAATTATTTTTGCGCCTTTGGACTTATCTTTTCCCAGTTATGTATGTGCTGACTCCAGATGAATCCGGGAAAAGGCCCTCGCGCAAAAACAATGACCCGCCGCCAACTGCTACCGCTACCGCCGTCACTACCGCTCCCACCGTCACAACCGCTCCCGCTGTTACTACCGCTCCCGCCGTTACCATCACACCCGCCGTTACCACCGCTCCCACCGTTACCACTACAGCTGCCGTTACCACTTCAACGTTTGTCGCTACAGCAACCACCGCTGCTACTGCTGTTACCACCCGTGGGTCTACGGAATCGTCCGTGCCGCGCACACCGTTTGACGATCCGCGCGTCGGGTGGATTTATAGACTGAGCAAAGAGGAGCTGCAGAACGAGATGAGTAAATACGGCCTTTCTACGGCAGGTACGGCTGAGGAACTTAGGAAGAGTTTTGTGGATTTTTGGCGATCGCCATTCTCCGCAATTACCCGTACCGAACCCTACCGGACCGTTGACCCTCCACGCACTCTTAATATCCCGCCGGCGAATTACGGGTTGGAATACGCGTCTAAGGACAAGTTAGGCGTACATACCGCCCTCGACGAACGTGACAGTGTACGGGAGATACTTGGGTTGTCACCGAATGCGGACTCTACGCTAGTGAGACGGGTCCTAGCCTCAATGGTGAATACCTTGAGGTCAAACGACGCGACTCCCACGGGACACTACGCGACCGACACGGTTCCCGCTCACGCCGCACCCCCTACCACGAATTATGCCGATCTGTGCTACGGTGCGGTACCACGTCCTAACGCCTCGGCAACTCGCGAGTTGCGAGATGCCGATCCATCGAGCCACGCTGGCCCCTCAGGCCGCCAATCGCTAGACGGAGCCTCCATTTACAACGTCGTTCGTAAGTGGAA